GTAGTGGTACATAATTCAAGTTGCCTAAAATCGGCCAAATCCGGGAACAAAAAAGGCCGATAATTCAATGTATACTAGTTTATTTGTAGGTTCCGCTATGAAAATTCCATTTATTTTCTTTTTGCAGTATTTAAAATTTAATTAGGAAGTACCACTATCATAAATTTTAGCCGGCCAACGCAATTGAGAAAAACTAAATCACGGAATTTGTCTAGAAAAAATGACCGTCTGGCAACCCTGCTTAAAAAAAGTACAAAAAAAGAAATAATTTTACAAGATGAAGCAATCGTAGTCAACGTGTTAAGATTCAAAGAGACTGTGCATGTCACCCAGTGAGAACATCAAAAAATGTCTAAGTTGATAGTTGACCTTGCTCTACCAAATAGTGATAAGCTGTTTGTGTAGAAAGAATATTATCATTTGAGACTTTTAAATAAGTCTGTGAATAGGTATATTAAGAAAAAGAATCCTTTAAGTATACTTGTATTTGCTGATTTCAAGTGGTACCATAAAATGGGGTCATTTGACTCCCCAGGTAACTTTGACCACTTTTTGTTATTTTAACAAAAACCCCCAAAACTCAAAAACTATTTGACATAGAAAAATTTTGTCAATGGCCATTAAAGGCCTAATACTGAGGCTACATAACACAATAGAGAGATTTAAAAAGTTTGCATATCTAATGGTTAAAAATTTAAAATGTGACCCATGAAAAAGAGCTATTATTCAAAGCCTGTCGGAGTACCCCCTCCAATTTTTTATTTTTTAGTAAAATAACTCCAGGTTATGATGCATTGTAGTAGAATTTTTCTAGTTACGTATGCAAATGACAAATTTTAGGAAAGTGTCATAGTTTGCAAATGGGGGTGCTGCCCCCAATGGGGGAACTTTGACCACCTAATGGCAGCCATGACAGGGTAACATTCATCAAAAACGCCCGGCACTTCAAACAATAGCTGTTGCCTTAGACGTGAGCAAAGTATTTGATTAGTATTTCCACAACCGCAATAGAGCACACTACACTTGAATACATAGCAAATTACATCAAAGGCAGAAAAGGCTTCACAAAAGTCAACAATACCAATTCAAAACAGAAATTATTCAAAACAGGTGTACCACAAGGCAGAGTCCTATCACCCTCACTGTTCAACATATGTTTCAGATATACCTCCACAGAAAATATTAAAATAAATACATATGCAGATGATATAACTATCTTATCCTCCCACAAAGACTATAACACTGCTGCACAAGTCCTTCCATACCTACAAACCATACACACATGGACCACAGAAAACCAACTACAACTCAATGCAACAAAAAGCACTGCCACTCTTTTCACACCTGACCCGGCCGAATATAGCACACAACTCAACCTCAATATCAATAATACTCATTCCAGCAGTACGCAACCCTAAAATACTTGGACTTACCTTTGACCCAAAGCTCACCTTCAGCACTCGCATTAGCAATACTCACGACAAAGCCAATAGTACCATCAAAATAACCAAATCACTTACAGCCACATAATGGGGAAAACAAAAAGAACTACTCACAACCACATTTCAAACAATCACGCGTCCAATCCTTGAATATGCAAACTCATCCTGGTCACCAATTATATCACTCACGCGAATGAACAAACTCCAAACAGTCCAGAATGCAGCACTCAGGATAGCCACAGGCTGTACTGCAGACACCAACATCCACCACCTTCACCAAGAAACCAAACTTCTCCTAACACAACACCTCAAACTTCACGCCTCACAACTCAGACAGAAAGCACAAAACTCAACCCACCCACTACATACCCTCACCCTTCAGCCGCACCCAAACGTCTCATGAAACAAACCATTTTCCACAACACAGGTTTCACCACCAACATAGATACTCTGCCTGCACAAGCTACACAGGACACAATCAAACAAAATCTCAAAACAATCCACACTACAATTACAGAAAACTATCTTGCAACCCTCCCTCACAATAAAATTTTAAACATGCCCGCACCACAGATTCACCCATCTGAAATCAACCTACCTGAAATCAACCGTCTAGGCCCTGCCTCGTGCCATGAATCGAGGCAGGGAGGGTCAACAACAATAGCGGGGGTAACATTGACTGGCTTGGAAATTAAGTTGAAATTAGCATAGGTACCTATATAACATATTTTATGTTTGATACACCTATTAATGTTTATTCTTTATGTTTCCGACTCTACAGTCTTATAATATATGGTAATTTTAACTTAATTTCCAAACCGGTCAATGTTACCCCATCACAGCTGCCATTAGGTGGTCACATTTCGCCCATTGGTGGGTGGCCCCCCCAATTTGCAAACTATGACACTCCTAAAACTTGTCATTTGCATATGTAACTAGAAGAGTTCTACTACCATGCACCAAAACTATTACCAAAAAAATTATTTAAACCAATTAAAATTAGTAAAAAATTATTTTACCGAAAAAAAATAAAATTGATTTTACCACCCAGCCAAAGAAACCCTTAAAGCTGGGGTAACAAAGATCACTTTTTTTTAATTACATCAAAACTATGAGAGGCAGGAGCCAGCAATTTATGGTGAGTGAAGCTAGAGTATAGACCTGTATTTTGCAGGTTTCAATTTAAGTTTAACTTATCTAGTTATAATGTAAAAAAATTTCATCATTTTGAAAAAAAAGTGGTCAAAGTTACCCCATTTTACGGTAAATAAAATTGATAGATTAAGTTGAGCGACGGTTTTAGACACATAAAAACTAATTCCAACACAGCTTGGAATTAAGACACACAGAGCTCATTCCAAGCTGTGTCCAAATATTAACATTTTCTTGATTAAAAGCCTAATAGCTCTTAATTTAAAGCTTTATTAAAAAGTAAAAATTTTTAATTAAGCTCATTCCGAGCTGTGTCGTATTCAGATACAGCTCACACACGGCGTCGGAATTCCTACATAGGGCGCTGGAATTACAAATTAATAGAGTTTGAAGGGCTACCATACACAGCATTGGAATTTGGGGATTTTGTAGATTTGAATTCTAAAAGTTTTTAAATAAATATGGCAATAGCTTGTGACGTTTCATCATTGCTGGTGCATAGTGTGGTGTTTTGAGTGACTTGAACCAATCAAAACTTGAGTTGCGCATACGGTGATATTTTTATAGCCGTTCATTTCTTGCTATGTCCTTAATGTGTCAGAATATACCGCGTTTACCTACTTGCAAAATCCACTCATTGTCATTCAATTTGTGATGTGTAGATGACAATTTTACCTTTGGCCCTGTGATGCTCATTTTTACGGGCTGCAGCTGTAGAATTAAATTAAACAAATTTTAATGAAATTTGTTTAATTAGAAATCAAATTTTATTTAATTAATTTTAATTACTTAATGCATCACATGGTGCAAGCCTAAGCACTTGATGATTCATGAATTTATATCACTTGTTTGCTTAAATCGCAAATTAACTAAGAATTTAAAAGCAAAGAAAAGTCCACAAAAATTCATGTCTTTATAGAAAATGTTTCGGAGACCAGCTCTATTGTCAGTTCGTAGAATCTAGAATCACGAATCAGAAGTCACAAATTAATACATTGAAAGCACAGAACAAAATTAAAGACCTAAATTTACAAGTAATAGACAGAGCAAAAAAAGAGCTATCTTATGACCTTATGATGAGTTCGGGACTTCCTAGTCCCCAGTCATGCTGATGCGCCGTCATCTATTAACAGTTTCACGGGGATAGGAGCTAGCAGCTGAATTCACACTGGGCCTAAGTTTGAAGATGTACAGTAATTCTAAAATGCGGAAGTCCTGGAGGTGGAAGCTGAAACCCTAAAGCACTGTCAGAAATAGGGACATCACACTGCTTGGTGTGAGTGCGCACAGCCGAATGAGGTGGGCGTGATAGCAACTGTCCGGTTCTACAACTCCTGCCCTTATGCTCAGAGACCCTGAAATAGATTGCATGACATCATCCCGACGTACGCAGATGCACATCGTGCACAACAATATTGATAAACCAGTCTAACCAGGGACAATCACATATGAACAGAGAGCATATCTTGATATCTAAAGAAAGAACTGATTGTGAAATTGTTTACCAGCACATAATTGCCATTTCTGTACAATTAGCCTAACATTTTCTAAAATACAAAAGACGTTCAAAAAATTGCAATGAGACACAAAATCATTCAGAATCAGAAGTAATCTTGACAATTTAAACAAAACGGGCAAAACATGAAAAAATTTATAACTGGTTGTGTATCAGTAGGTGTTTAAATTCTGAAATAACTTTCCATCATTTAAGTCTTGGTGTGGAATGTGGATCAAATATATTTATTGTTGAATCTAACTTGACATTACCAAAATAGGTGTTTTGGCGATGGCGTCTTCAAGTCTTGTCATATGTTAACATCACAGCACAATGTGCCATAGGCTGTGAAAGATTTGCAGTTTATCCCATCGTTTTGTGTTGTTTCAAAAACTTTGTTGGTATTGGTGAAATCTTGGGAATTTTCTGCAAAAGCTGACATAACTTTTAAATTATTTTCAAACATATTTGCTGCAAAAATTTGTCAGCTACAGACAAAACTAGTGAATGTAATGAAGTAAGGCATTGCCGACCTGGTATCGAATTCCAAACCATGTGAGATGTCAGAACTGTAGCAGTTTCTGTTTAGTTCAGTGTATCAATTGTCACTGTGGTGGATGATGTAACGTGGTAGGCTTTTCGATCAATTTTCTTTTATAAACATGAGAATATATTACCTATTCAGAATTGTGCAGTGGTAGGGGGACTTGTCTACATCACACAAATTCCTCAATAACATTGTTTAGTCAATTCTCAAATATGTTGATGCTGGGAGCTTCCACCACTTGTGCTGGCAGGTTGTTCCATCTCCACCACACACTGGGTGAAACTCTTGACAATTACTTGTATTGAAAGGTTTTTTCAGTTTGTAATCATGGCCTCTGGTATTTGTATAATTATTGAATAAATGTTTCAAACTTGATTAGGGAATTAGAAATAACCTGTGGACTGCTTTCTGAAAATGTTTTTTGCCACTGCTCACCTCTGGGAAGATAGGCGCCAATCTGGATAGAAATAAGTACAAACTGCTTTGATTGCTGAGGTTGTGGCTCAGTTCTGTTTAAGAAAGAATTTTCTTGGAAAGGCAGGCCACATTGGTGCTGTAGTGACATAACTGGCATCGACATTATTTGGATAATTTATTCAATATGTTATGTACTTGCTATTAGGAATCAAGTCCTCATAGTGTATTATGTGCATCATAATTTATAATTTTTCAAGAAAAATACTTGAACAAAAGACTTATTAAATTTTGACATTTTTTGATAGGTAGTAAAATATAGCAACCCACTTGATAATTAGGATGAATGAATGACAAAGATACTCATGAAAGTTTCGATCCTATTTGTAATATTTAGATTTTGAAAGTAAACCATTGAACAGCTGGATATGAAATATATTCATTGTATCTTATATTTCACCCTGTTTCTGGTTATGATAATTGTTATTCTTGAGATATTCATTAAATTAGGCAGAGCTCACCTGTAAATAATTGAAAATAAATTTTTTTATTGGTTAATCGTAAATTTCCCTACACACTAATCAGCAAAAATTGTTGAAATCCCTCTGTCTCTTTATGTGTTCTATGTAAGCATTTGTCTATGTGCTGCTTTAAAAAAAGCTAACCATGGTCTAAGTTTTTACCCTGAGCTGTTCATTATTCTATTTAATATTTTATGTATAACAATTTTATTCCAAAGGACTGGATTTGTTTAACCTTTGTAATCAAAATCCTTGCAATGTCAAAATCTTGAGTGTGAAAAAATTAGTGCTGCTCTTGCATACTGTTCAAGTGGCATCAATTATGGAAATTTTAGTTCTTGCTTAGTATGTAAATTCCATTGGTTTCCTTATGTAGGATTAAGACTGTCAATAGGCATGGAATATTTGCTGATTGGTTGTAGTTGACACTTCTCCAGCAAAAACTAATGGCAACATAAAATTTGAGTTAATCATTGTGGCCTGCCTGCATATTTGTTACACTATTATGCTTATGGCTTATTTTCATGATATGGTTAAGGGTTTCATAACTCGTATTTCCAATGGAAACTATCATGCTTTCTGTTGACTTGGATGCTAGTCACTATATGTGGGGGTAAAAATTTTAGCTTTAAAATGTATTGATCATAGGAAATTATAATCTCAGAAGATTATTAAAACAATTTTCACTACTAGAACTGATAAATTGACAAAATTTTGGATCTAGAGCATCAAAGTTAGGTTATGTTTAACTTTATTAATTACTCTAATAGTCTAATACTAATGAGTACATCTGAATTGTGAGCTATTACATTATTATAATTGGCACCCTTGAAGTAATGATTTTTTCACGGAAATGCGTGTAATTTTTGACATTAGTTGTTGATACCAACATTTGATATGCCTATTTATGTCAAGTTATTTGTATGCATTTAGCTGTATTTTTTTTTTGTCAACAGCACCATGGAGGTTGCAGCTAAAGCCAAGCCTGCTGCTGCGCCAAAAAAGCCAGCAGCAACGGAAAAGCAAACTGCAGTGAAGAAGCCAGTTACTGCTAAAAAGCCAGTTACTGCTAAAAAGCCAGCTGCTGCCAAAAAGCCAGCAGTAGCCAAAAAGCCATCTGCTGCCAAGAAATTGGCTTCTGCTAAAAAGTCAGCTGCTGGTAAGAGGCCAGCTGCTAAAAAGCTTGCCGCAGCCAACAAGAAGGCAGCTCCTGCTGATGCAGCTGAGTCTAAAGCTGCGCCAGCTAAGCCATCGGCTGCGCCAGCTCAGCCATCGGCCGCCAAGTTGAAGAGAGCAAAGGCCAAGGAGGAGATCAAGGAGAAGAAGAAGGCCTTAAGGAAGGAAAAGGGACCTCGTGATCCAAGCAAGCCTTCCAAGCGGGCTCTTCAGAAAAAGGCTAACATTCACTGCCGTAGAATTTTCATTGGTAACCTGCCGAGCGAGTGAGTTGAAAGATTCATATTTCACACGCTTTTTCAGTAGGATTTGTTTTCTGAAATATTCAATTTGCTCATGATCATGAGTCATTTTTCTGTCATTTATGTGCATTCAGAGCTGGAGTGATAGTGAGAGAGGGGGGTTACTTGAAAATTTGTTTGCACGCATGTCGTACCTCGTGAATTCTTTTTATTCATTTTCTTGGATCAGAATAATGATGCTTTATTCTTATCTATATTGTGATTATTATTACTGATAAATAGAAGCTTTTTAATCCCTCACGGCTGTGTTACTTTCTCGGTGAAGTGTGAGAAAATTGTGTGGCCAATAGCTGTTACTGAAAGAATATTTTGTGCAGTGCTCGTGAGAAGGACGTCATGGAGATGCTGAAGAAGCACCAGTCTGCCATCGTGAGCATCAAGGTGCTCAGGAGTACTGGTCGTGGCAAGAAGGCCGAGAAGAACGACAAGGGCAAGATTATTCCTCGCACCAGAGGTGCTGCCTTCGTCAGGCTTCGCTACAAGGCTGTTCGTGACGTAAGTCGTAGTTTTTGTCTATCCGTTTCTGTTTGCTACGTGGAAGCTGCAGTTATGATGATTTCTTCGTTCCAATCCACTGTTGATTGTTTGCGATTGTTCGTACGAATGATAGCGCCTCGCCGAATGTGGATGATATTAGATTGAAACATTTTTTCGTTTTCCCTTTCAATTTTTTTTTTTGTCGACTGATGTCTATTTAGAACAGTCGATTCCATACCCACTCAAACGCTGCAGCTGTGTTTCCTCTCTTCACCAATTCGCGATGTCCAAAAATGTCTCACGTTTCAGTTTAACGGTGGCGATGACGATAAACTTCTAGCTTTGACCGACAGCGGTTTATATGCATCCAGTTAAAAGAGCGGTATCTATAAATTATAGACGTTGATGTAACGCAGCATCTGAATGCAAATCTTAGTTTTGCGTTTTACCCAAAACTTAATTGGACTCTAAATTTATCTTGTCTCTTTTGTGCGTGTGATCTCGAGTTTTTATTCGTTTCTGGTGCTTTTGAACAGTATTCTTTGTTCTTTATTTGAGATTTGATTTTTGTAGTGCCATTTCGAATCTCATCAGCTGCAACCATTAAATTGGTAATTCAGAATAATTATGTTAAATTAAGTTACCAATTGTATCTCTTGCGTATCGGTTTAAATCTTCAGCGAATAATTTCATTTATTCCGAACCCGCTTCGTCTCATTCTTGTCTGTTGGATAAAAACGAGGTATGTAACTTTGTTGCAGGCCATTCTGAAGCAGAAGGAGTGGACTTTGGGAGGCAAGAAACTGCGAGTGCAGTTGTCACATATTAAGAAGAAGCATCAGGCACGGCTTGAGGCTCAGGCAGAGGCCAAGAAGAAGGTGCTTGCAGCCAAGGAGGAAGGCATCAAGAAGCATAAGGAGACCATGCACAAGAATTTACTCAAGAACAAGAAGCACGAGAGGAACCTGCACCTCAAGCTCCGCAGAATGACGTCCAAGAAGGGCACCAAGACGGCCATCGAGAAGAAGCGCATCGTGTCGCTGCGCCAGAGGATCAAGACCAAGAAAGCGAAGGCGATCGTGCGGACGGAACGCAAAAAGCTGTACGGCGTCAAGGCTCGCAAGGCTATGGTTCGATTGTCGAGAAAGTAAACTCGATCTCGTGCTGATGGTGATTAATTATCCCTAACCTCTAGGTGAATAGTTAAGCGCCAAGTCTTCTAAACGAGTGTTAAATGCTGAATTGGTGCCACCTGCGACCAATTATTGCTATGAATGTGAAGCAACAGGTCTAGCAGCTTTGGCTGGTTGAGCTAAAACGAACATCTCGCCAGCAATTCAGCTCTGGCTCAATTCTGCCAGCGACAAGCAATCATTAGATTCAGCTTTACTCCGAATCGAAGAAGCTTGAAACTAAGTACTTTCGGGCAAAATTATGAATAATTTGTTCATCAAATTATATGCTGGTCTTTGTCTGTTGCACAAGTTACCGCACGCATGACGTAACACAATTCAGTAGCGGTTCTCAACGTTGACCTACTGAACCTCGCCGCATCGCAACTTTTTAAGAACGCTGCGCCGGTAGAGTCGAAAGCAATTTGCAATGAATGTATCCGATTCAGACGCGAGAAAGAGGATAGATAATCTTTCAGAAAATGAAACAATTTCTCGATTCTTATACTTTGAATATAATTTAAGGTTATGCTGCATAGATGAGACGGCAGGTAGCATCTAAATATGTACAAGGCTTAGAAACTCGAGCTCACGTTCTCAAGTTGGGGCAGTTTTATTTAAATGATGAATTGCCGATAAAATTATCAACAAACATTAACTGGCATCAATTGCGAATAACAAGCTAGCTGAGGCGAAATAATTTCTCGACAAGAAAGAATTTCCAAGTCTAATGCTAGGCCCTCGTGATCCGAAGTTGGTCATTAAGATAGTCTAAAATATTCAAAGAGGTGTGCAGCTCTTATTCAGTGACTGCAGAATACACCTCGTACCGTGCCACAGATTTGACAATTAATATTAACTTCATGCAACACGCAAGAAGACCGAACAAAGCGATCACCAGATGATTTCCTACACTCAAAAAAGCGGCTCAATAATCTTTCAGCGATGAATGACTGCACATCTAAATGACTGACACACTAGTAGTAAAGTAAAGAAAAATTCCGCTTCAATGAACCAACTTAGGTTATGCTCATGCACTTTTTGTTGAAACCACCGAGGGCCTCAGACGGTGCCAGCAAACACAACTCGTCACTTGCACAGAACTAACATTTGTACAAGTTTCCTACTGCTTGGAATGACAAAAAATAAATTCATTAATTGATTTATTACGCAAGAAACTTCCATGAATTATGGTTTTGAATGAAACGTGATGCGACCTCTGCATTAAGTGAAAAAAACGCCTGAATAGAAAACTGGCCTCGGTAAAAATGTTAAGAATGTCAGTAGTGTAGCTAGTATTTAAATTTTAACTTACAAATATTTCACCGCAGTCAATGTCCACAAATTAAAGCCAATCTATTCCTTTTACCAATTAATTAGTCTATTTGTGGGAAAGCCAAGATTTGCATTGTTTTTACTTAAACATTAATTCCGTCAACGGTAGAATATCAGACTTGCGGCTCCCCATCTCGCTTAGTAAAGAATATAGAGTACGAGATGTTTATTGTAAAGCTGCATGAGCTCACTAAGTCGCTGGACCCGTGGCGACGAGGAACGGCCATGTCACTAAAGTCTTAACAAAATCCACGGTCGAAATCCTCATACTTATTGTTCATTTACATACACGGTTGACGAATACCAATAAAACTAAAATATAACGGAACATATCGTAGTTAACAATTAAAATGGAATATAAAAGAGAGACGTATGAAGTAGGTACACTAGCTAATAATACTCAAGCGCGGCATAACACGTACAAGACTGAGAGTCTAATTTACACGAGTCATGGAGGGCTTATGTACAATATTAATTCTAGGAGTCATCGAAGGCAGACTTGACTTTCTTGACAGGAACGAGCGGGCGTCCATCGAGGGCAGGTCGCCTCATACCCACTTTGTTGGACGACGGGGGCGAGCTGCACGAATTATCTGCAACACAGGAACAGAATCAGCATAACACTACCGAGTATTTAAGAGCAAAATAAGCACACCAATGTTGGGTATCAAGGTATTGCTCCATTAAATAATAACGGCAAGTCCCCTGGCCACATCATTAGATACAAATAGCATTGGCGATGGTTGACTCATCCGTAGACGATGGGCTTAACTGCTGGGGTGTGCTTCTCTTAATTGGGGCATAGGAATTTTTAGCAATGTGCCAACACGATCTGCACGTTACAAACGTGTCTAGCTAGCACTGTACGACTTGTGTGTAGGATGAAAACTGCACCAACAACAGAAATCGGTCAGTCCCCACATGGCGCTGCGCCTCGTTAACTAAAAAAAGTTATAGAGTAATTTTAAAGAAATGACAAATACTCTTAGAAGAATTGGTACGTAACTGACTTTGATGAAATAAATTCCCCAACCTTTTTAAAAAGAATCTAATTTTTTTAGATAATATATTACATATATAATCAAGCATCGTCGGTATGCATAGTCATCAGGCTTTCTATATCAAAGCACTACTGATGAACTTACAATTAAAGAGAATCTTTAACTCAAACGACAGGAAAAAATCGATTTAACAATTATGACGTTGAAAAAATTAAAATTAAAGCCGATTAAAAGCTTTAAGTGATTCAAGTTTCAGATCACATGCTAGGACAAGAGTAGCAGTTTCACCAGAGTCCAAGACCTGCTGTAAAGCGCTAATAACACAGTGTTACCCTCGCCCTTAAGAGGCACAGGGTCCAGGACTGACCTTGTAGCCACCTGACTTGCGTGGCAGGACCGTAGCCTTTATCGTTCCTAGCAGCTATACGGAAGATGATGGCTGCCTTGTTGGTCGTGTCGATGTGTGCGGCCGTGAGTTGCGTGTTCAGCACCGTGCAGTTATTCTGCGCTCCGCAGTACACGCGCATAAACGCCAAGTGGGTGCCGCTGCTGGCACTGCCGTCCTGTCATCAAAGCTATTATTACAAAAAATATTTACATGATACAAGAGATGACTGGACGTATTTCTGGTCACAACCCCTGATACTACGCCCCTGCACCACTACCAGCGTCGAGAAGCAAGCAACAGCATCGTGCATCAGCTGGCCCAACTGAGGGTGGATGAGCGATCGTCAGAGACGGGCCTGGGACTGCTACGATCGAAACACATATTAAGGAGAATAGATACTAAAAATTTCTTCGCAGGAGCTCAGTGACACTGTCGGCTTGTGGTATTGAGTCCCAAGCCAACACTTAGAAAAAATACATCCTGAAAATATGTTCTAAGAAGTATTAAGAGATTGCTATCGAAATTAATTCTTTTGCATAAAATTTCTAGGGATAATTATTGAATTGTGGACCGTTAAGCATTTTTTATAATTTATTTTTAATTAATTATTTGTGACATTAAGGTGGACGATAATTTGTGGATTTTCCTCTTTGAACTACTGAAGCTTGGTCAAGCTTGCATGCAAAAGAAAATTATTGTACAAGCAGTAGCAAGGAAAATCGTGTACAGTGGCGAGGTCACTGCAGTGCTTCAGTTTAATGCACATCAACTCAGGCCGATGACACTTGGGCAAGACAAGACCTTCTGCTTTGGTTAACACTTATGCACGTAATTGTTCATCAATGAAGTCTAGTAGGTGATTTAATATATACGAGCTTGATAGCAATTCAGATATCATGTGTTCTTACTAAATTGTAAGAAACTTCACAGAAGACGTGAAATTGAAGAACTTGTTTCGTTACTCCGCCTAACTGGCAAGTTAACCGAGAATTTAGAAACAAAGAAAACGCCAAGTGAAGAATGCCAGTAAGATTCGGTGAATTTACTTGGCGTATTCTTTGCTTTAAAATTCAACATAACATTAAAATAAATGTATCACTGAATGAACAAAGCACGAAACCAACAGCGGCGCTGACGGACGAGTTGCTCTTGATGGCGAGGTAGACGGAATATTCGATGATGTCGCCAGGGGAGTTGTGTGGAGGTTCCCACGAGAGATGAGCACCTTCGTGCGACTTGCTGATCTTGATTGCTGAAGGGGCGCCCGGGTACCCAGGCAAGCAGGTTTTGAAAGCAGACACTTCGCTCCAGGGACCAAGGCCCACTGAATTGATTCCACCCACTCTGAACTTGTACGCTGACCCAGGCTGCAGTCTGGCAGTGACAGAACAACACATTAGACGAACTAATAAGAGAACAGATACAACAAGAATAAAATAGACGAACAACTTCGTGACAGCATTTAGTATCAGTTGTATGTCCTCTAGATGCAGTTAGTCCAGGAAGACGCATGTTTTGACGATCTTTAATTCGCGAGGCAACAAAGAAATGCTTTTCATCTCCACTATAAACGTACTCGTCCTCCCGAAACCATCCTCGCAATAAATGAACTCATCTTCATAGTCAGGAAGAGCTATGTTTGAACATCCATTCACTTTTGAAGAGTAATGAAGATGCTTCCGATAAATTAAGAAATGAGTGACACAAGAAATATTTCAGAAACATCCATGAAACTGCATTAGAAATGAAAGGCGGCAATTGGCGAGCTTGAAATTAAAGATCTTCTATCGTAAACCTCACTACTTCAATTCACATTTCTTACTTGACTGGTGACTTTTTCAAATGAAGTGGTAGGAAATTATCCTCCCTGGCGTTTATACTACTTTCTATAATCTTGCGAACACTTCTATTTCTTGGTCTAGATATGACATAGCACTCACTTTATCTCGGTGCCAGATGGCACACAGCACTTACTTTATCTCGGTGCCAGATGGCACTCTGCCAGCGATGGCACCATCAGGCCCCACGTAGGAGGGCAGGGAGGCAAGGCCCCCGGGGGAGGAGTAGTAGCACTGCACGGTGCACACGCTGCCTCGTATGATCCCAACGTCCAGCCACTCGCACGTCTCCCCGTCGCCCTGCACACACAACATCCATAATCCTTAACAATAATGTGATGTGATAAAGAGTTCATAATCTTGCAGAAATTATCTGTGAGGAGAACAGAGTGAGGAGAACCAGTGACAGCTGAGTAGTTTCTAAGTGTTGGAAATAAAGGAAAGATGAATTCAACAAAAATCTTGAATGTTGGCAGTGAAAATGTATGGCAGTCAAGCTATAGACAGCATCATGGCGCAATAAAATGAAATTTTGTGGGGCTACAGCACTTACACCGCATGGTGTAAACACCGCTAACAATCTCATGACTGAAAATGAGTAGAAAGAAGCATAAATATTGAAGGCGAGGCAGTATGGTTTGAACAACGCACGGCAGACTCCTTCTTGACGGCGCCGTTACATAAGGCAGCGGCGGCGGAGGCCAGGGTCGTGAGAGCGTCCTGCGTCTCTTCCTTGAGCTCGTTCTTTACCTGTAAAAGAGATTATAGTATAGCCTATAGCATAGTATTACAGTATAGAATATAGTATAAAATTATCAGTCTAGCAAGTATATAGCGCTAGTGCTCATACACTTGCACTTGGTCATGCCATACGCGAATCTAAAAACGTGGAGCCTAGCAAAGTGAAGAAATGAACCTCAGATCCCACTAAAGGGGACCGTGCATTTTTAGTGATGAGACGAGGCGTTACTAATCAGGCTACGATTTCATGCAAAAGTGGTTAAATTGCAATGCTTTTGTTATCGTTAACAACATAATCGCCAGGCCATCTTTCTAACTACTGATCCAAGGATCATTCAATTTTGTAGGTGATCACAGAATAACTTATTTCTATGCACATAAAATTCAACACAAAACACACACAATTTTCGCTTCGTAATAATATTAGTGAAATACTGCCTAATGCAATCATGACAAACAGCGCAATCAAGTAATTCTCATGTTGCTATTTAATTTTCTGGTAACGTGTTTGTTTTTCAGAATCACACTTGGAGCAAAAATAAAGACTTAGCACATAACCTGAAAAGTACTAGATTGCAATACACACAAAATTGTATTTATTCACATTATTATTCTTGCAATTATAACGGTTCTGGATATACAAGCTGCTCTCAAAATAGCCTAAACGAAAAAAAAAGATGCATTCTGCGGAAATTGCAATGATAGTAGTAGTAGTAGATTTACTAGCCCGTCATATAGCTATCTATTTCGCGCCGGCGGTAAGATCTTCAGTTGCGTCAAAGGTATTTCATCTCTGCTGTCTTCCAGCATGCAGCCTGATCCACTTAGGAGCAGGGGTAGGGCGGTAATTTCTCTGCTCTTGGAGCGCGGGTCTACTCTGGCTCCACGTACAAACTCCAGTGTCAACTACGTATGGCTTGGTCTGGGTGATGGGCTAGGTGCAAATACAGTTTTGCTGCATATGGCCGATAGGCGGTGTCATGCTGGGATCATGCTAGATCTCCGGTAGCAGGTTTCATTCTATCAAGTATCGTCTAATGTTGACAGTTCTGAAATTACTTCGCTGGTCCCCCCTTAGCATTCTGGTGAGCATCTCGTCATGATCAAGGGCTGATGTGTTGGTTAACAGTTCTGTCAGGTGTCGCTGTGGCTAGGACACTCCATTAAAACATGCAGTAGGTACTGTCAGGGGCACCAGGCAATCGTTACAGTATAGCAAAAGGCGACGTTTCAATCAAGTAGCCATGAGAGAGGCGCGCATGACCAACTCTCAGTTTACACAGCGCCATCTCCATCTGTCAGGATCTCTAATACCATGGGCTCAATGCAGATACATTTTTGCAAGGGTAAACATGGCGCAACACTGACCCCGATTTCATTCTGAGCGATTGCAGTCCTTAGTGAGTTGGTCCTACCTGTGAAGACTAGAAAAATATTAAAAGCTTTGACTAGAGAATGAGCTGAATGATAATCAAGATGCTATTGAGTTTAATCCCATGAAGTAATAAGCAAGAACTTATGAGTTCTCACCTCAAGGCCAGCGCTGGTGGCATCCATGGCAGGAGCGGAACTGGTGGCAGCTTCAGGAAGGCTCGTCTCTGCTGCTGCGAAAATCAGAATTCACAGTTGAGTACAATATAAAAAATTATACAATACATCGCTTTAAGGGTAGGTTTTGAGTAAAGATTCGAAAGAATGATTATTCAAGCTTCCAGAAAAAAATTTCAATTGAAAATTATGAAAAATAGAAGTACTCATTTATGGTAAAGTTAACAATGGTTTAGTTTCATGCAGGCTCGTTATGATTGATAGAGTTCCGCTAGAATTAAGCAGAAACGATCAGTACTCATTACAAGACAATTGTATCATACCAACGTCATCGAGAAAAATAATACTTGAGTCCTTGTGTCCTCGCGAGAGGAAAAATATGATGTTGCTAGGATATGGAATTTATTTCAGCTTTAACCAGCTTTGTATGAATTTCTGAACCATCAATAGATTGAAACAACGATCTCCCGAAGAATACTACGGCATTTTAAGAAATAATCTTAGCACATATGTCGACGTAAGAATATCTCTATACGATGCAAAAATTAATGCTGACCTGATGCAGTAGCGACTGAATTAGTAGCTGAAGCCTCGTCAATTGCCAAACTCTCTCCCTCCTTCTTATGAGCATCGGAAGACGCAGTAGAAGCAGCAGCAGCAGCTGCAGCTGCAGGCTCTGACGAATTAGTTTGATCTTCTTGAGCCAAATTGATTTCTTCTGACGTTGCTGCAGAGACGTTGGTCTCTTCTTTACTCGTGGGTTGAGTTGCACTTGCATTTAGACTCGCTGCCGGCACGTCTTGACCAGATTCAGAAGAAACAGCAGCAGCATCTGAAACAAACAGAATGTTAACGGTATTCTCACATAAATTCTAATAAGATTCAGATTTTCCCATTTCACGCTAAATGCTATCAGTCATAACTAGAAAATTTTAGTCAGCTGCTGTATTATAAAAAGTTTTACCTTTTGTCACATTGGCTGCCTCTCCAGCATCAGCTTCCTCAGGGGCCGGGTTAGCAGGAGTCTGTTGCTGTGCAGGGTTTGAATCCGCAGAAGTTGTTGGGGCTATTGCTTGAGGAGCGTCAGACAAGGCGGTCGCTGGTGTCATATCTACATCATTGTTGCTGCTGCTGCTAGCTTCATGAGGTTCAGGTTTGACGGAAGACAAGGTACTGCAGATGGCGTTGCCAATGCTTGATACCATCATCATCTTCATGCCCGCCTGCGTTTACAACACCAAAAATAAGATAATCCCCATACAAACATGAGATCAAACTCATGCTCACCAATAAGATATTGTTAGGAAATATGTTAACTTGGATTATGATATCTGTGTAGATTCCGTTCTCCTTCATTTGCTGCTCAAATGCTGAACAATGAAGACCTCGTTCGTTCAACATGTCGACAGCGTAGTTTTGTGGTCAGAGTTTTGTATTGGCCCTCAGAAGAGCTGTGAAGATTCATACGCCATTTTATAACAATTATGGTTTGGCTTACGTTCACTTGCAAATAAGATTGAATCTTCTTCTGACGTTGATTATGCTTTTTGTTTTCTATTCTGATTCCTAATGTAGAATGAGTGAACGTTGAAAATCCACAAGTATCGGGAAACAAGTTTCTGATTTATGATTTACAAGTTTTACACCTTTCATTTCAATTACTATAGCAGCTGTGAATAAATAGCTTGATTCGCAGGGCAAAATTTATTCGTTTTCCTCATTTACAAGTTGAATTTCATTAAGCATTTTGTTTAATGAGCATCGTAAAACCAGCATTGGCTATCGCTGACTGATGGCATAAAATTAGTCCCTGATGGCATGAAGTCTTCTCTAAAATTTCAAGACATTCTTGAATGTAATGTCACAGTCTGCAATGTAACGACACATTCTGTAATGAAATGTCACATTCTGCAATGTAATGTCTCGAAGACTGACTCTTGCTGCAGTCAGCCAGGTACTCAATAGATGTTTACACACTTTTTTTATGAAAAAAGGGGGTACAAACAGACTTGAGTTTGACACTACAGAATATTATTATCAAGTCAATACTTTTGAAGACGATATACTGCTAATAACCTCCTTTCTATATTTGTAGTGTCAATCTTTGTACACAAATTTGAAGGAATACTCATAAATTTTTCTATAAATCCCAGACCTGAGATTTGATGGCAGGAGCTGCAGTCTGAGCCCCTGCAGCGCCAGTGGTCAGTAGTGACGTGTTGGACAACAGAACAGAGCTTTTGCCGGCCTGTGACGTGACCAGCTTGACGATAGTCGTGCTCCCCGTGCCACTCGCGGTCTTCGTGGAGAAAAGCGTGGGCGTTTTGCCGGCCACGAAGCCCACCTTAGAGGACACGGGCGTGAGGCCTTTAGAGGTCTTCAGTAGCGTCACGATCTGAGGCTGACTAACGCCGCTCTTCTGCAGAATGAACTGCTTGCTGCCTGTCGAGCTCACTGGGCTGATCACCTGCCAAAGAATACAAATTATTTCATCATCACACAAGCGTTATGTCAAAGATGTAGCTCATAATTATATAATAATAATTATGATGACATTGTTGCAAAATAAAATCAAAGTGCAAAATAATAAGTTAAGCACAAAACAAATCACCTGTCCAGTCGACGCAAAGAGTCGCACCGCCTGAGGGGTGGTGCATGCAATAACCTTTAGACCACCACTAGTGGTTGTGGTGGTGGTGGTGGTGGCAGAGGCTAGGGTGGTATCAGTGGTAGCGCTGGTCGCTCTCACCAACTTCAGTGACGGGTTACCTGCTGCACACAACAACCATTCTATTTACCTCACACATGAGGAGAGACATGTCACTTCACCTCACGCCATGAGCAGTGAGTGCACTTCACCTCACACCGTGAGCAGTGACTGCACTTCACCTCACACCATGAGCAGTGACTGCACTTCACCTCACACCATGAGCAGTGACTGCACTGCACCTCACACCCAGAGCAGTGACTGCACTTCACCTCACACCGTGAGCAGTGACTGCACTTCACCTCACGCCATGAGCAGTTGATTAGAGCGTCGGTAATTCTGACTTAAATTACATCAAACTGTAAAGAACGCAGTCTGCGGGTGAATTAATTCGTAAATTGAGTTATGAAAGTTAGAGACTTAGAGTAAAGTGTTGAGAAGGCTACAGGAATTTGGGTTGAACTGTGTAAAGTTAGTATAAGGTGCTATTGTTCTCGAGACCATGAGAGCGAGAGTTGTTTATAGTTGGAATGGCGAGGGCATCAAACGGCTGACCCTTGCGGATTTCAAAACTGTCGCGCGTCACTGCGAGGGAGTAGGCATAACGGTGCGCGACGGCTGCGTATAAAAGGACCTTAAAATTGGCGCCAAAGGCTGTTCTACGGAAGTGACCGTCACGCAAGCACGGTCTGCACAGCGGACTTAGTAACGGCAGCGGCCGTGAGGCCGGCGGTGTTGCCGTTTTCGAACATTGACGGTCGCGAAATACTTAGATCCATCGAGGCAGCTACGATTTCTGTAAGCGCGTCTAAAATTTACAAGTACGATCGACATCAACGGTACGGCTGCTACTCGGCCGTGAGGCAATTCGAGAGGGTCACGAATTGTACAAACGATTATAACGCACGTCATCAGAAGATTCTAAATGTATCAGTGTTTCATTACAACCCTCTCTTTGTACTATGATTTTTTCCGTAAACCCATCCATATGAGAATTTATAACACTGCGGACGAAATTAAAGCGATTGCCGATAAAATAAAATAATAAAAACAGAAAAATCTCAATACTACCTTAACGTAAAAAAAACTGCTTATTTAATCACAGTGACTGCACTTCACCTCGCGCCATGAGCAGTGACAGGCCTGACAAAGCAGTGTCCTGGTAGCTCAGCCTCCTCACTCAAGCATGATTAGGTTTGATGGTTATTTGGAAAGATCATTCTAGAATTGAGAGTCGAGCTAGTAATTTATATTAATATTTCCTAAACATTCATTGTTGCAGATTTCACTTATGTTGGTATATGCGTTCACAGAGTAAATTATAATCATTGTTTATTATAAGTGAAAATTTGTTGAATGCAATAATAATTCAAAGCCGTAATTCATGATATGGCAGAGGCAGCAAGGGCTTGGAGTGGGTTTTATTTATGAGATTTAATTATATGACGATTCTTGGAAAGCTTCATAAGCTCGTTAATGTTACTTATTTGCTCATTAACTTATATTTTAAAGTTTGTTCATCTTTTGCAGAATGCAGATATCAGCAAGCTCACACACACACATTTTCAAGAACATTTTTTGGTATTGGTCTGTGACATAAATTTTGTCATTTAGTTAGTTTTGTTTACTTAAAACAACATCATATCATTTTTTTACCATATCTGAGCTACACAAGCCTTTCATTCAAGTGGCGCAAACACAATGAGCAGTCAGATCGTAGCTTAATTTGTGGCTCAAACTTTATGCCCAAACAGTAGAGTGTAAGGCGTTGAAAAATGTACAAATCAAGTTGTACTCTAAACCTGAATTTTCTAATTTCCCTGCAGGAGAGCAACCTTTTATACTAATACTGATTACATAAATTATGCTAATATATTTAAAACAGCACATGTACGAAGTGTGCCAGCTAGAAGATACCTACATTCCAGAGCACAGGTAAGGAACATGGAAGCATGGAGATGAAGACATATTTCAGAGCAAATTTAGGGAACAAGGAAACAATAATTTCAGATAAAAGTAAGAAAAACTCAGAGCAATGCAATAAATGAAAACTAACCTTGAGGGGAGTCTGTCGGAGCAGCCATTTTGGCACCAGCCCCGGCCGCCGCCGCTGCTGCAGCAGCAGCAGCAGGAGTTGGTTGCACGCTGTACTTCTGGATCTGCTCACACAAAGCACCAATACAACGAGTCGTAATATTTTGGCAAAGATAAATTAACAGGAATAAATGCCAAGCGTATTATTATGCATGAAAACTAGAGTCACCTTCAATAGACAACAGGTTAATTTTTTGTCCAAGGATACAATGAACGTCTTCAAAACAATTCAAATTTAAATAAATGGGAAGGTGAATAGCTATTTGCTGAAAATATGTTGGAAATTTTTTGGCAATAATAAATACACACATTAATTATACATTCTTGTTTGTGATAAATATGCAGAAAAGTGTAATTTTGATCAATTTCAATTAATTCGAACCAACTAAATGCCTTTAACGGATAGCTATCTTTCTCGTCCATTCAGCCCCTTGTGTACATGACCAGAGATAAATTCAAAGCAAGCTAAATGAAAAACTTTTGTCTATAATCTGCCGCCCTAATCGCTGGCTGATCTTCTAAAATCAAGTTATTCTTTGACGAGAAGTGCTAAGGTATTCTTATTGAAGCCAAGTTATGGCATATAGCAATAATTTAGAAGTGTTGATAAAACATACAATCATGAATATACTGATAAGTATAAATAGTATTATTATTAATACTAATAATACCTACTAGTCATGTGATCATTTAAATTGCAATAATAGTAATATTATTAATACTAACAATACTCGTCAAGTGATCATTTAAATTGTAATAATAGTATTATTATAAATACTATTAATTATTGTAGGGAATACTTATGATAAGTATTAATGATAAGCATAACAGACCTGGAGGAGGTACGCCTCGGCAGTTGGCGCGGTGGACCAGCAGACCTCGAGGGTGGTGGTACAGGCGCGTACCAGCTGTACCCGTCCTGGACACGCGGGCACGCAGCACTCCAAGTACCACAGGTCCTTGCAGCACACCTGCAGCACCAGCACAGTGGTTACCATACACAGAAACGGGTGTTGAGCAGTCAGTTATGATCCCTAATGACCGTGATGAATACTTATTAATATTACTTCAGCACGTCGAGCATCAAACAACACGCAGTGCACAGCACAATACATCCATACAATGTACACAAGACCTCGCAGTACACAGCAGCAGAACATGCAGTGCACAGCACAATACATCCATACAATGTACACCAGATGCAGTACACAGCAGCAGAACATGCAGTGCATAGCACCACACAACACGCAGTGCACAGCACAATACATCCATTCAATGTACACAATACCAGCAGTACACAGTACACTACATCCATACAATGTACACCAGACCACGCAGTGCACAGTACAATACATCCTTACAATGCACACAAGACCACGCAGTACATAGCAGCAGAACATGCAGTGCACAGCAACACGCAGCACAATACATCCATACAATGTACACAAGACCACGCAGTACACAGCAGCAGAACATGCAGTGCACAGTAAAATACATCCATACAATGTACACAAGACCTCGCAGTACAACATGTAGTGCACAGCACCACACAACACGCAATACACAGCAGCAGAACATGCAGTGCACAGCAACACACAACACGCAGTGCACAGCACAACACATCCATACAACGTACACAAGGCCTCGCAGTACACAGCAGCACAACATGCAGCACTCACCTGATTATTCCAGGCCTTCCTGTATCCGTCCCTGCCAGACCAGATGTAGAGGCGGTTGTGTATGGCCACAGCGCAGTGCCCTGCACGCGCCCGGGGCACGTGCTCCTCCTGCTTCTCCCCCAGCCCCGCCTCCCACTCCATCGTCTCTGCAAACCATTCATAGTCAAAACAAACTCATAATTGGTCCAATGGTCCTATAATTAAAAAATATACCTCAGTATTCACGGCAGTGAGTGAAGAGAGCGCATTTTCTCGTGCATAAATCAGTTTTCATTGCCATTAGTACAGTGCATTAGAGCTAGAGATGTCGTATCTTTGATACAGGCATGCCTGCTTCTTAAAATCGACGAAAACGTGAAGTCATGGACGGACAGACAGACGGACATGACGAGCATAATAGTGCATTTTTCCCATAAATGAAAAAATGCGCTAAAAATACAATAAATAAATAAATCAATTCAAAAATAAGATAATTAAATTAGAAAATAATCAAAATGACCAATTTTCATTGCTTGCTTTGATGATAGTACTGAAAATATGTCGTTGAACCTTGCTGAATAGCATTCTATTTATTAGCATTAATGGTAAGCATATATTGCTTGACCATTTTCTTAATATTTCTAACTCAATTGTTTTCATCATGAAATAAACCTGAAAAATAGTTGATTAAAAGTGAGATTTTGAATGTAAACTCAAAATAAGTAAATATACGGTGTAATTACGCAAGAAAAAAATGCACTTTAGGTTAAACTTTGGTTATGTTGCATCCTAAGGACTCACCTAAGTTGAGGCATGCTAACGAACTTGTGCACTTCCATTCAGATTTTTCATTATTGATCCCCTTTTGGTCATCAAGCACAAGCGGGACCCAGCCTCCAAAGATGTACATTTTGTTGGCTATGAGCGTAGCAGAGTGCAGGGATCGGGGCAGAGGGGCTATTCCTCCCACAACTGGACGCTCCCACGTCAGAGTGCCTGCACACAACACGCACGCATTACCAAAAATGATGCAGTTATTAGCAAAAAATCTCTTCAAATAATTGTCAATAAAACAGCAGTAATGCTAGCTTATTGAGTCCTTAGGAGATGTCATAACATGTAGGCATCAACATAATTCATATACCTACATAATTAGTGAAATAATATAAATAATTTTGAAAGTTGAGAATAGACACCAAAATACTTCTCAGTCCCCATACATGACACACAGCTGATTAATAAACATATACTTCTAGACAGTAAAGGTATGTATATTAAGTATGAACTACTCACGTATATCTAGGATCCATAGATCGCCTAATCTGAGCCCACTCATGCCACCATATATCACAAGCCTAGGGTTGGTCTTGCCAGCCATGTAAAGAACAGCTGTGTGGGACTCCCGAGGCGGTGGTGGCATACCGAATGAATCTGGTATCTCCCATGCCAAGTTGTTGACATTGTTGCTTAACTCTAATGTGTAAAGATCATTCAGGTACCTGAGGATGGAAGATGTGTTTCAGATCATTGATGATGAGAACAGGTAAAATCATTAGACGAGTACAGAAAATACAGGTTCACTAAAAATGAGTAATACACAGAAGGGGTTTGTGGTCTATAAGTTATTAGCAACTTTTTCCCACATACAAGCTACTATCTGGCATGACCAGCATTCTTAGACTAGATGAAAATTAATATATTCATTTTACTATGCATGAGCAAATGTTCAGTCTTTAAATGCCTAGTTACAAGCCTTGCAATAAGTTCAGCAGCTATCTCAATCAATTGTCAGTTATGGAATGATTGGGTTCAAAAGGCCGGATCCCTTGTTGGAATCAAGTCGCAAAAAGTACAAGAATTGGTAATAGGCCATGGGTGTTTTTCTGCAGTGCCGAAACTTGTATTCTATTCTATTCTACTGTGACTTTCAAGACTGTATGAGTAGCAACACAAGTTGCAGCCATTGTTATGTGGTTTTAAATATTATTGGCAGTGTGAAACCTTTGTAATCTTCATTCTAATGCAAACTTTCCTCAATAAATTAGCTATAAAAGTATCTGTGAATAATTTGAGAAAGATGATCAACCCAAACACCTCTCTGTGTAAGTTGAGAGCTCAAAAAGGTATTAAGTTTGAAAAATTACAAGAACAATGCGACACAAGAGACCATGTGACGACATCAGGGTGTCTTGTATCAAGTTAAAACGAGGTGGCTACATATTGCACTCCTGCCTATACATGTATGTGGTATAAAGACAGTTGATGGGGGACCACTGGTCAAGAACAACAGGAATAACACAATATGGTGATGGATAGCGTAGTTTCATCAGATACATTCAGATAAGCTTACTTTGGGATGTTATTCTTTGGATCGTCTGAGTCATTGGCAAGACCAGCAAAGAGATATGCTTTGTTCTCAGCGAGTGTGAACGAATGGCCAAGGCGAGGGCATGGAGGCGGACCACGTGCTGGAGCTTTGGCCTTAATTTTCCGCCACTCCCAGCGAGATGCTTGCAGCTCGTAAAGATCATTGCTGAAATACAGAAGGGTAACTGTTATTATAAGTTCCATGATTATTTTGATGAGGGAAATTTCAGCAGAGTTATACCAACCTTGATGGAAATTTAATGTGATATTGGTTTAAGACTGATGCAGTGAAAGAGTAATTGAGGAAGGCAATAAATCAAGTGATATTAAAAATGTCAGTGAGATAGTAAGACTTATATACACTAATTATATTGTTCCATAATGCCATTAGCTGAGTAGTAACATTTATACTAGGTACTAAATGTAATTAGGCATACAAAAAAACATACAAAGTTTTACCATTTCCACTTGCCAAATAGTATAATATAAGAACACAAATGAATTTACTGTGTAATGCTGCCAATTTGTGGTCACACATAACAGTACTATGCTCTACATTAATGCAGATGTATTAATACACAGTACTATGCTCTACATTAATACAGATGAATTAATACACAGAACTATGCTCTACATTGTACAGATGTATTAATACACAGTACTATGCTCTACATTAATACAGATGTATTAATACACAGAACTATGCTCTACATTGTACAGATGTATTAATACACAGTACTATGCTCTACATTAATACAGATGTATTAATACACAGAACTATGCTCTACATTGTACAGATGTATTAATACACAGTACTATGCTCTACATTAATACAGATGTATTAATACACAGAACTATGCTCTACATTAATACAGATGAATTAATACACATAACTACGCNTATACAAGGTCCCAGAAGGATTACTAGAATTTGAAACAAGACCCAACACCAGGGGCCACGGTTATAAACTAAAAAAACAGCGTTGGAACACATCCATGCGACAACATTTCTTCTCGCTTCGAGTCACCGACATGTGGAACAGCCTCCCTGATAGCATCTTTGACGCTCCAAGTATGAACATCTTCAAAAATAGACTAGACAAAGCTATGCAGGAGCATATGTTCAGTCTTGAAATGCCTAGCAAATTACGAACCAGGCAACAAGTCCAGCAGCTATCTCAATCAATCGTCAGATGTCAGCTATGGAAAGATCAGGTTCCAAAGGCCGGATCCCTTGTAAATCAAGTCACGAAAAGTTCAAGAATCGGCAACAGGCCATGGGCCTATTTCTTCAACGCCGACACTTCTATTCTATTCTATTCTAAATGAGCTGTCTGATATCAGAAGTCTGCACAGTTTGTACAGGATGATCTCAATTTGAATAGGCCTTCTTGTCACAATTATGTGACTTTTCTGAATTTCTGAAAATGGCATTGTATCAATTATCAAATAATACATTTTAGTAGATTTATTCATTGATCTGGCAGGAGCCAGTTAAGCCACCCTCAGCCCTGACCCCTGAATGAGACAAAAATGGCTGAATTTTGCCTAACTGTAAAATCTGACAAGGCATCCTAGAACCAGCTGCAATTCTAGTAAAGTGCATAAAATTTCTGTAATTTTTGGGTGGAGACATGTCTTTTTCCTGCTGTGATTAGTTGAGATGTTATCCACTCCAGACTGTAATTGGTTGTGTGGTGGGCTTTCCAAA